GAAAAGCCGATGTTGCTCTTGTTGCTGTGTCTACTGTCATGTTTACAAAGTAGGATGTACAGTTACTAGTAGTCATTAGTTATGACTACTGCCAGTACCAACCTTTCTGAAAATGCAATCCCTGTGACCGGACGCCCTAAACAACAAGACATTCAGAACCATTAGCAGCCCAAACCGTTCAAACCATCAGAAACAACAAACACCTAAATCCTCTCTTTTAGGTTTGCGGCTCTAGGGGAACGCAGACTTTTTGGGGTGTTTTATGCGGGGCTTGGCGTGGCTATACAGGTTTTATCAGTTGATGTTCTGGCTTTGTAGACTTTATGCGGTGAGAAGGCCTTCTTAGGTTTTACGCGAGGCCTGTTTTGTGTTTATTTGGAATACGACGTCGCCTTTGATGGTGTTCACGATGCGATGTCGCTCTTCATTGTGTTTACGATGTTGACTATGTCGGCCTTGACTGTGCCAGAAACAGTTCCCTCACCACGCACCCCGCCACCCCGCAACAAAAACCAGTGATTTGCACAGAAACAGCGACCAACACCAGGTGCGTAGTTCTATACTTAATCTTGCACGTAGTCAGAGATGAATTGAACCCCTGCACAGCGATAGGGGAAAGAAGCCCAGAAACGGCATCCCTTTTCCTACTGCCTGAGCGCATCCACGGAGTACATAAAGTCTTGAAATGCCTCAACTCGGCAGCTACAGAAGCTAGAGGGTGCGCTTGCGACGTGTGGCCGCTTCGAGACAGTTCGCAGGAGTTCAAGAAGCAACTGGCGAACGTTCAGGCCTACTGATGCTGCTCACGTTTTCCAGAGAAGTTGTTGGTTGCAAAAGATGTAGAGGCATCCGCGAGCGCCGGTGTCACGCAGCCGGCCTACTCGCAGGCTCATTGCAACAGGTGATGTCATGGGCTTTATGGCCATCATAGAGCGAATCCTCCTTGGATAAATGCGGATCTCGCAGATCCAGCCTTTCATGCGAGTTGGCACGCTGCAAGTAATTGTCTGGCATTGGCTGAGTCCAGCGAACGAAACGGGAACGAAGCCATAGGCCTTCTCTACTTCCATGTTCTGAGCTCTCGTTTTTCAGGGTCGGGAGGGTCAGCATTTTCTCCGGTGCTGCACGAACCCGTGTCTGCAGCCCCGAAGATGGGAAGACGGTTCAAGCACCTCACTGACTGAGAAATCTAATCAATGTTGATGCCATGGTGCATTCTGCACATCTCGCTCTTGCTTCTTGGTGTGTTTGCCGCACGCACTGCCACGGACATAAGCCTGATGCGGCACCGAGGGGTGCACAAGGCTGGCTCCCTGGGCACCCTTACCCTCAGAACGACCAATGAGTCTCTGAGGGCGGAGCACGAATCTATCTTGCACAATGCCTTGCAAGCGCACTGGGGGTGCTCAAAAAACAAGAGCTGCAGCTTCCTTTCGGAGCATTCGCCGATGTTTCCAAAGCCAGCAACAATTCCAGTCATTAGCTATGCGGATGCCACGAAGACTCAGGCCGCGTGGCAGGCTCCCATGAAGAAGACGTATGACAACGGGGTGAGGTCTCCGGCCCTTGGCTGGAATTCTTGGAACCAATTCAACTTAGATGTTAATGAAACCAAAGTCCTGAACGTTGCTCGAGCCATGAAAAGTTCCGGGCTGCTGGAGAGTGGCTTCGAGTACATCGTCATCGATGACGGTTGGGGTAGCCCCAAAAGAGATCAGCACGGGCGAATGCAGGCTGATCCGAAAAAGTTTCCGAACGGCATCAAGTGGCTCGCAGAACAATTGCATGGCCTTGGTTTCAAGTTCGGTATCTATACCAGTGTTGGAGAGAAGACATGTGGCGGAGGCCAACCAGGGATCATGGGCCACATCCAGATTGATGCAGAGACCTTTGCATCTTGGGATGTGGATTACGTCAAAGTGGATCGGTGCGGCTGGCCAGGGGAAGTATTCTTTGAAGCAGGCTTGCACGTTGGAGACCTGCCAGAGTCTGCAAGGATCATTGCCGGCATCGACTACCCTGAAAACGGCAACTTGGACCCTTCCGGTATCATGCGCTTTTTCTGGCTCGGTTATGTTGGGGGTTTCGTGTGTGCTTTCTCTTGAGTAGCTGCATCATGCGGAGGCCAGTACCCGAAATCCTTCTACCAAGTGTCTGGCCGGGTGGAAGGCTACCAAAATTTCAGCGCGGCATTAAACAGCTCGGGTCGAGCAATGTACCTGGAGATTTGTGATTGGGGCGAAGATGACACACTTGCGTTCGCGCCCCAAATCGCAAACTCGTTTCGGGTGCTGTGGGACAACTTTCCGGTGTGGCACCGTGTCGAAGAAATATACGAGTATTATGCCCAGGTGTTAGCAATTCCCGCTTCAACGAGACCTGGCGCGTATGCTTTCGCAGACATGCTGGAGGGGGGAGTTGATGGCTTTCAGTACAACAAGGACACCTTCCCGGCATCCAACTTAACAAGACGCGAGGCAGCAACCGAGCATGCAATGTGGTCAATGTGGAGCTCCCCTTTGATTCTTGGCTATGATGTTGCAAAGCCTAGCAAGGCCTGGGTGACCGAGCTCATGACCAACCAAGCACTCCTAAAGATCAATCAGGACCCTTTGGGCATAGCTGCCCGCCTCGCTGTCCGGAAGCAGAAGAATTCTTGCCGCATCTCCGATTGCTACCACACAGATTTGTGGGTGAAACCGCTTGCTGAGGGTGCCGTGGCTGTGGCACTGGTCAACGTCGCCGCGGCCTACAATCAGCACAACAAATTCTACACAACAGAATCTATTTCGGTAGCGTGGGAGACGCTGTGGCTCCACCCAGAAACCAACGTCTCAGTGTATTCTGCAACGGAGGAGAAGGACTTGGGCATTATGAGCGGATCCGTTTCGATGGATGTTGAACCGCACGGTGTCATTGTTCTGGTTCTGACTCCACAGAGCACCACTGTGTAGCAGGATTGCTCAAGGTCGAGCACAGTGACGAGTGCTCATTCTAAGAAAAGGGCCGTCAAAGAGTTAGGATTGAGACCTCAGGCTCAAGGTCAAGCTTGGTGACGACTGCTCTCCTTAGAACGAGATCGTCAACACATTTAGTTGTGGAGAACAGGCAAAGCCAAATATCTCGACATTCAAGCTGGTGCCATCTGCACATGGCGGCAAAAAACATCCCACACTGGCCTTTCAGCTGACACGAAGTCAAGCGGTCCTTTAATCTCATGTCAAGCAGCCCGACAAGCTGTTCGTATTGACAGATGCTGCACCATCTCTGTGCCCAGTTGCAAACCGGATGTCAGAGATCGCAGGAACTAAGCTCGGCTTTTGAAATCTCCTCTTAAGCAGATTGGCAGGCTCGCGCTGCAGGCTCCTTGCAGGCCTGCCCCTCCCTCGCCGTTTGGCCTCCGATGTCACTCGAAGTTTCGCTCTGCAGGAAATCTGCGCGCGCGTGAACGATGCCCTGCGCAGAAAGGCCGGCAATTAACTCACTGCATGAAGCGGAAAATTCTGCCGCTCGCACCTTTGCAAGTCTTTCAGTGCAGGGCCAGACGCCGGACGCGCTGTTCGACGCTCTGGCCGCGGCCCAAGTTGAGAGGATTTCAAATGCCAATCGCTCTGTCGTGTCCGATCGACGGCAACATCGCCTCTTGGCCATAGGCTGCCGGTGGACAAGAAGTTCGCTGGCCAGACTTCCGGGCCCTCTTCGCGCAGCTCGAGCACGGCCCTCTTGGGGGCAATTCGAATGAATCGAGAGGAAGACAAGAGCATACAAGAGCGCTGGATGAGAAAGCATGAACTCATGAGGCCTTCATTGGGCGAGGGGCAGCTGCAGCAGCCCGCACCTCGGGGTCCCCTCCTCCCGACGAATTTGGAAGCAGGTTGTGCAAGATCACCAGTGTGTCTTTGTGTGTTGCGTGCTGGCAAGGCTGTGGGTCACCTTCGATACCAACGCCGACGGTGGCATTTCCCGGGAGGATCTGCTGCATGAAATTCTGAAACTCCGCAGCTACAGAAGCCAGCGAGGGGGCTTGCGACGTGTTGCAACGTTGGCACCTGTCGCAGGAGTTCAAGAAGCAACTGGCGAATGTGCAGGCAGTCCAGCCCACTTGGCTCTGAAGGGTTTTCATGCTTTGCATTCAGACCATGTGCAGGCCTCAGCAACAGGGGGTGTCACTCAGCCATCCTCGTCCCAGGCCGGGTGGAAGGATTTTTGTAGGAACGCTACTTTTGCCTTCTGACATCATCTCGGAAGAACTCGCATTCAGCAACTGTAGTGGATTTCGGTGAAATCCGAGCTAGCTCGTCATCCTTCGTCTCAGATTTGCGCCTTTTGAAGCCGCAGCATGCCTGTGACACTGGGTGTGGAGCCCGTTACTTGGTCACGTGTGTTGCAACCTCTGCAGCGGATCGAATATTCGCAGGTGACTCGAACTCTTGAAGCATGAATGCCACACGTGCAAGCGATGTACAATGCTGGCCTAGATTGCGCATGGCATAAAGCCACATGGCAGCTTGAATTGCACAGCAGCACCAGGCTCTGTCGCATATACAAATCAAGCTGTGTGAGCTGGCGTGATTCGGGCCGGCCGAGAACTGTAGGCCTCAGGAGGCCCCAGGCAACGCCATAGGCATGCTGATCTTGCTGGTCAGGCTGGCCCGGCACCGTCGCTGAAGGACTGCACTTAAGACCCCCTTTTCAGCAGCGGTGTCCTCCTTTCCCGGAAGTTTAGCGCCACTGCCATGTCACGTTGCAGGACATCTGTTTGCGTGTCAGCGACACCTTGCAAAGGAAGGCCTGGTTTTGCTAGAAGTGCACATAAATAGACTAGCTGCGCCAGCGCGCGGCCCCTATTGTAATAGCCACTGTGCCCGGCATAGGCTAATAGTGCGTATAAGTTATGGTGTAAGTTCATTTAAGGTGTCTTCTTGTGTTCTTGACGCTCTGAAATTTCGCCTTCAGCACATTTGGAGCCTTTGGGTTGCACCTTCGGGTCATGCTGAGCCATGCTGGCGCCGGCTCACGCTTGGACGCCAATCGGGCCTGTCAACCAAAGACTGCCGCACCCTCGGTATTGTCAGCTCAGTTGACTTCATGATGTGGCGGACAGTCTTCTGGATTGTCTTCTATGCTACTTGTACCAGTGGTTTCTGCATCCTCCATACTAGTACTGTCATTTAACTCTGCAAAGGGTTGAGCCTGCGGGCCCCGCCACCCAGCTACACAAACGTGGATGTCTTCGAAGACAAGAGAACAAAGCGGAGATGTTGCACTGTGGGAGGGGGCGGGGCTGTGGGTTGACCGAAGCAGTGCCACAAAAGCAGGTTTTGGAGAAGAAGAGCAAGAATTCGGGCATGCCTGCATGCCACCAACAACACGAATTGGCATCCAGCGAAGGCGACGCGGAGCGACTTGCGACTCCCCGAAACCTCGCAGCTCCCGAAACGATCCGAAGCTGAGGTTGCAGCCTCGAACCTCGGTTCCACCGGTGCCCAGCAGACTCAGGGGCAAGGCGAAGACCATCGGAGCCGCCAAGGACGGCGGCCTTGAGGCGACGGCCGAAGAAGAGCAGACCAGTTCATTCGAATTGAATCTGAAGCATCCGAGCAGGCGAAGCCGACCCGACAGATCTTCAGCTTGGCGTGGCCAGCGGTTTTGGGAGCATCAATCGACCCGCTGCTTTCGCTTCTAGACACATACTGGGTGTCGCGATGCCTGGGAATGCTCTCCCTGGCCGCCTTGGGCCCCGCTCTCAACGTCGAGGACAATCCATGCCAGCGGTGCAGCAAGGAAGTCCAGGGCCAGCGACTTTGCCTTGCAGGATTGGATGTTCGACATCCTGAAGACCGTTCAAGTACCTGTGCGCTCACTGACTTCGGAGTCTGCGGCGGCTGGTCGACCCAAGGAGGTGCAGGAAACCTTGTCGCAGGCGGAGCCAAATTTCCAGCCGTCTCAGGTCGAAGCAGAGGGCATGCACATCCCCAGCAGCATTTGGCTTCCCGTCCTTGCCTGCAGGCATTGTGCTTCTGCTGGAGGGTTGGACTTGCCGTCGTAGCCTGGCTGCCTTTGCAATGGCTGTCGTTTTCGATGATCTTGCTTTCTCACCCCCACAATATTGAGATTGCTTCAGAATCTGAGTACCGGGCCAATTACATTGAGCAGATGGCGGCTGAGGCCCTTCTCGGATCGGCGCTTTCGACCTGCCTTTTGAGACTCTCATCCGTTGAAGCCTCGTCGCCTCTGTCGCTTAGCCCGTTTAAAGGGGCTTCGAGTTGTTTTATCAGAAGGGGCATCGACCACAGCCAAGGCTTGAGCCTGCCAAGGCCTATCTTGCCAGCGCCTGATGGGCTTCTTTTTGCTATCACCACCCCATGCAGGCGGTGACTTGCCTCGCTCCGAGGTCCCGAGGCTGTGCGGTGCACCGGGGCTGCTGACACTGATCGTTCTTCAGGCGGCGCTCTCGGGTGCTTTCCGCGACACCACGGCAGTGCTGCGCCTGGTCCTGCTGGGCGCCGGGCTGAATGCGGTGCTGACACCACTCGGCGTTGTGACTTTGCACGGCGGCACCGCTGGGTGCCCGTTGGCATGCTTTGTCGCTTGAGTCCATGATGCTGTGATATGCTGTGCTGTGTGAATTGCTCGCATCAGGGCTGCGTGGGCAACGACGGCAGCTTGCTACGTGTCTGCCGTTGCTGCCTGGATCCTTGTCGCCCGCAGGCCGTCCAGCGGAGAGCCCTGGTTGCCACCGCCAGGGCAGGTCTTTGCTTCGGCTTTCCTGGGGAAGCCCAGCCCGAACCAGAGCGCCAGCAGTCAGAAGAATTGGATGGCTCTGCTAAAGGCAAATGCCGCAATGTCCGTGCGAACATTTTCATCGCTCACAACATGGCTGGTAGCTTGTGCCATCATCACAAAGATTGGTGTGGCACCTCGGCCCTGGCATTCAGCCGTCGCTTTTGTTTGCTGCTTTGGCCGCTTTGGCTGCTTTTGCGCCTTTCATTCCAGCTCTTGGAGCAGTTGCCAACAAAGGCACCTTTGGCGGCACACACCTGCATGACGAAAACCTTCCTGATGCTGCTGTACTTGCTGTACGGCTTCCAGCTTGCAGCACAGGTTTTGGTCAGTGCCGACGTTGTCCGTGGCGACCCGCAGCGTGCCCGCAAGACCGCGGTCCACGCAATCCGCCTGGGTATGGTCGTGGCAAGCTTTGCTGCTCTGAGCCTTTGGCTCGGCCACGATTTCATTGCGAGTGTTCTTGTTAGAGACGAGACCGTGACAGCTGCGTTCGCCACCCTGGTTCCACCGGCAATGGCCATGCTGCTCATCTACGGTGTGATGTGGGTGGCCGACGGAGTTCTCTACGGTCTCGGCGAGTATGTTTGGACAGCCAAGTGCACCTCCTACGCAGGTGCTGCAGCAGTTGCCGTCATGCTCCTCCTTGCCCGCCGAAACGTCAGTGCGGTGGAAGTTTGGTGGAGCCTGAATATCATGATGGCGATCCGAGCCATTTTTGGAGTCCGGAAGGTTTTCTTCTCGCGGAGCTCTCCCTTGTCGAGGCGCTCACTGCAGCTGGTCCCGGCCGGTGCCGAAAATGGCAACCCTGCCTAGTAGCTGCAAAACAAGTCGCCACTTCAAGGATCAAGGATCGGTGACATATGCATGCCTTTTGACGTCTTGGGAGTGTTTCTGTGTGCAGGGACAGACGTCGGACACGCTGTTCGATGCCTTGGTCACGGCCCAAGTTCAGTCGGCAGTCGCTCTGTCGCTCTATGTCGCTCTCCCCTCCACGGCACCATGACTCCTGCCCAAGAGTCACAGGCCGCCGGTGGACAAGAAGTTCGCTGGCCCGACTTTCGAGCCCTCTTCGCGCAGCTCGAGCCCGGCTCTCTTACTGTACTGTGCGGGCAATGCGAGTTCTTCGAAGTGAAGAGCAGTATGCAGAATGGAAGCAGCATCGGCAGATGAGGCCGTCGTTGTCAGAAGGTCAGCTACAACAGCTCGCAGCTTGGGGACAGTCCTCCAAAACTGCCAACTGTTTTTTTCCCCAGCTTTGCAAAGTGCCAAGGCTCTGGGTTACTTTCGACACCAATGCGGATGGTGGCATCTCAAGGGAGGACGGGTGCTTGCATGCGCGGCAGCAATCGCTTGCAAGTCGGGTTCAGGTGCTGGTCCCTGGTGGGTTGAAGCGTAAAGAGATATGATATATACTTGCAAGTTGAGCTAGTGGTGGGTTGAAGCATAATATCAAGCATATAGAGACTCTGCAGGAATTCAAGAAGCAGCTGGCCAATGTTGAGGCACTCTGAAGGGTCCTCGACGAGAAGGGTTGCAAAGATGGAATGCAGAATCCCGCGCAGGCTTCGGCAAAAGCTGGCGCCACAAAAACGAACGTGTCAGAGGTCGGATGGCCAAGTCGTAAGACAAACCTCATGCTGCACGTGCTGCCAGTACGTGCGGAGCCAGTGGATGAACTCCGATGGCTCGCATCAGCAGCATAGCTGAGCTTGATAGCTTTTCATGCGAGTGCGCACTCGCTATCCCAAGTGTACGATATTGACACTGGCATGTTTGGCTGATCCCTTCACCTTTGCAGCCATGGACCCACTTTTTCGGTCCGTGGTCCTTAGTTCCAGGCGCTTAGGTTCCTTGAGCGAGGTGGGAGCAGAAGCCGCGGCGGCACTGAAAGGGGCGAAGCAGAATGTGAGCATTTTTGAGAGCACCACAGCAGGTCTCATCCAGGCTTCGCTTCAGTCGGTGCCTGGGGCATCTTCTTACACTACCTGCGGTGCCGTGACCTACGGAAAAGACAAGGCACAGGCCGTTCTAGGCAGCATGGATCTGTCCATGCCTAGGCCTACGGATGGTCCGTCTTACAAAGAGTCCAAGAGGCAATGGACACAACGATTGGCGAGATACAAGCGCCAAGAAGTGGGGTCGACTTGGTGCATCTGCGAAAGCGGGGCGTGTGGCCCAACTTTCACTTTTCCAGATGTAACAAAAGGCTTCACGGCCATCTTCGTCTCGGGGCCTGTTGAAAAGGGCCTCTTCGTGGAGTCTGAGACGAACGAGCGGGAAGAGAACATGTGGGGCTTTACGAAGCTGGCCTTGGATCTTCTTGCGGAGTGCATTCGCGAGAGTTCGGAAGCGGGGGCAACGGAGGCTACAAAGGTCTTGGTCGCCAAGGAAGACCGCTACGGAGGCGTCGAGGCAGAGGTGCTGGGGGAGAGCCCTTTCCCCGTTAGCTTTGCCTCCGAGCTGCGTGGATCCCTGGAAGCCTGGAGCAGAGCTGGAAAGCAGGGAATTTGGCTGAAGCTGCCACTGGAGGCAGCTGCCTGCGTGGGTCCGGCGGCTGCAGAGGGTTTTGAGTTTCATCATGCTAAAGCTGACTACGTGCTGATGACACGCTGGTTGGGGGAGGGCCCCAGCACTTTACCAAAGTACGGTTTCACGCAGGTGGGCGTCGGGGGTGTGGTTCTGAACAGCAAAGGCGAGGTCCTCATGGTGCAGGAGAGGGTTTCTCCTATCCCACAATTTCAAGGATCCTGGAAGCTGCCCGGTGGATTGGCGGATCCCAGCGAGGATTTCGCAGAGACCGTGGTGCGGGAAGTGAGGGAAGAGACTGGGATTACAGCCAAGTTCCTGAATTTGGTGAGTGTACGCCATAGCCACGGATATAGATTCGGGCAGGATGACATCTATGTGATTGTCAAGCTGCAGGCAGTCGAGGAGACGATCTCCATCGACACACACGAGCTCGGCGACGCACGGTGGATGAACCCGGACCATGTCAAGTCCTTGATCGTCGAGCCCGGCCAGCCATATGATGGCAGGGTGACAAAGAACACCTGGCAGGATATTTCAAACGCGCGGCATGGCGCAGCGATTGAGGGGACTCCTCTGCCAAACTCTCGAGGTGGAAAGATGTCAATGCTTTACGCGGGACCGAAGCCATCCTAGGCTGAAGCCCTCAACAGAACGCGATTTTCCAACACTTCCACGGATGTCGCGTTGTGTACCAATAGCCTCACCGTCTTCGGGCTTGCCAAAAAAAGGCTGTCTATGTGCAGGAGACATGGGTCGTCATCACTTCGTATGAAGCCTCCTTCCGAGGAAGTCTGCTCGATGGTCACTGCCATGCTGCGCAGAGAAGGGAAGACCCAGGACTGGGCTGCGACTACCCTCTATACTACTTAACACATAATACATAATATTTGTACAGCACGTATGATATATATATATATATATATATATATATTTATATTTATATTTATATCTATATCTATATCTATATTTATATTTATATTTATATTTATATTTATATATTATTGCAAGCATAATATATATATATATATATGTATATGTATATGTATATGTATATGTATATATGTATATATATATATATGTTTATATATATATATATATACACGTATTTAATAAAAAATATATATAGTACATATTCTGGCATAATATCGTTTGGATGCTTTGAGTGTGCAAAGCGCGGCGGCATAGCGCCTCCCGTAAAGGATCAGCTGTTCGACGCCTTGGCTGGAGTCCCAGTGCTTTCGACTTCCCACTTCGTGTGCCGTCTTTGCTTGGCAGCTTGGAATTCTGGGTTAGAGCGGTTAGAGTTTTGGGTCATGTAGTTTGTTGATGAGACTCTGTGCATTAGGCCAACGGCCGCCAAGACGTGACATGGTCTGATTTCCACGCTCTCTTTGCGCAGCTGCTGCCGGATCTGGCAGCCAGGGGCTTACTGACTTCGAGAAACGTAAATGCCTGTGGCGAATTACTGACTTCGCGAAGTAACATGAAAACCTGTCACGAACGGACGAACGTGTGGATGGGAGGAGAGCCAGCTACAAGAGCTCTGGCAACACTTCGACAAAAATGGGGAAGCTGGCTCAGACTCGGGGTCTTTACGGCTCAGGGCCTGATCGATTGGCACGGCTCAGGACGGCGGTGTCTCCAGAGAAGAGTTCCATCGCGCTCTGGGGACGGTCAGCAAATCTGCTGAAGAAGCAGCGCAGGAGCTTGGCGCACGCAGACGACACACACCATGCGCTCTGTTGAGCTTGCTAACCTGAGGACGTCTGCTCTCGCGTAGTCGCAGCCCTCATGCGTGAGGGGAAGCGGAACCGGCCCGTCTTTTCCATTCACGATGCAGCTGGCACCGCTGTCCTCGTGCGTTGTTTCAGCCCCCGGACAGCTGTCGAGTAACTGTGGCAGGTCGGTGACCGAGCTATTCGATGCACTCGCGGGGACGAGGAGCCGCAACTAAGCGGGATTTCTCAAGCGCATGGCCTTTGACACAGACCCTACTGAACAAGGTAGAGCGGGCGAGCCCTTCAGCGCTGCCTCTGGCCAGGAGCACCGTCCAGTCGAAGGACTTCGCTGACTTCTTCAGAGTCATCGAGCCGGTTGCTCTGTTCTCGCACGGCCTTCTCACACACAGCGAAGCCATGAGCATCCCGACGAGGCCTAGCATCACCCACCAGCAACTGGAGCTCCTCTGGCGAACGTTTGACAAGGCCTCGTTGCAGTTGCAGAGCTATTCTGATGACTCACGACCGGCAATAAGACTCATAATGATTTTGTGATTGCGACAAAGGCTCACCAGATCAGAACTCCCGGTGACTCGAATAATGAAACTAGCAGTTATCATGCTTGTCACCGTCTTCCGCTTCTTCTTCTTCTTCATCAACATCATCAACACCAGCAGCATCAACATCTCCAACATTTCCATGGGTCCTTGCTGCAGTCCCTGTGTTTAGGGTTCAGGCAACAGGGGTTTAGTAAATAAGCAACAGAGCTGGGAGAAGAGCGGGCTACATCGACAACATCGGGTTCATAAGACGCCATTCGTGTTACTGGTACGGCTGAAAGACGAATGAGAGATAATGAGAGTGTCAAGAGCAATGATCACGCCGATATGGGAGATTCCGAAAACAGGGGTACCTTATTTTGGGGTCCTGATAATTGTGATCCTACTATTTAGGGTACTATATTAGGGTCCCCTATTTTCGGAAACCTCCATATGGGTCGCCCGGTCCAATGTAGAAAAAGTAATCAGCAGACCCCGGAGCCTACCAAGGCTCAAGTCTTTCATCCCCGAAGCTGACGTTCTGAGAGGATGGAGACGGCAGCGTTACAAGGGAGGAATTCCAGATGGGCTTGCAGCCCGGGCGATAGCCTCAGTCTGTTTTCAAGTTGGTCGTCGCCGCGACGGGCGAAGGTCTTTCACGGCCAAATTGGAGCCGTCTTGTATCAAGCTTTGGTGTCAAGACTGTGCTCTTCTTCTCCGCAAGGTCCGTGGCCCTCGCGCCTCCCATGCCGGCCGAGCACATAGCGACATGTGGACGTTTTTGCCGGTGTGAATCGGTGTGCGGTAGAGTGTAGAGTCTTCCCTGCTCTGCCAGGCCGGCGCTGTGCCAGACATGCAAATCCAGGAGCGCAGAAGATGGAGTTCACATGCCATTCGCTTCAATGTCAAGTTATTCCCCCGTCCTTGCGTGGGCTGTGCAGGCGCCTTCGGATTTGTCGTCGGCTCTCTGGGCTGCCATGTCCGAGGTCAGGGCCGGGCAGAGCCGTCTCCAAGGTCTACTGTGAGTCTGGGCTGAGCCAGGTGGCTGCGCTGAGAGCACCGAGCGCGCGGCGGACTTAGATCGACCTTCCGAAGCCTGACTCAGTCGTGCCTGTCGTGCTCGCTTGTGCAGGCCACGAGGAAGTGAAGCCTTGAAGCAAGCGGTTCGGCAGCAACTCGCAGCCTTTGACCCCACGCTCAGCCCCGAGACAAAGAGCATTTTTTGGCACGGATGCTGCGCGGTGTGGATGATGTGGAGTGTCGCATCCAGGCAGACTGGTGTGCTGGATCCGGCAGCTTTTGCCCAGGCGATATGACTGGCTCTGATGCAGAGGCACATGTCTTCGCTTTGAGCGAGCAGCACTGTTGAGCCCAGGCGTTGCGCTCCTACAGCCCGACGCTGCCAGATGTGGCCCTCAAGGCAAGGCTTGTGCACAGCCTCGGAGTTCACGCCTGGTCTGACTATCAGGTGCTTTGGCAGCAAGTCTGTGAAACTGACGGAAGGGTGCAGATCGACAAGTTGGCACCGCTCTTGGACTGCCTTCGAGATTAATCGCTCGCGTCACGTCTTCAAGTTGCGACAACGCGCAGAACAAGGTCAGCCAGATTCTGCAAACTCCGGAGTCGACCCGGCCAGTTTCATGCATCTTGGGGGTGTGGTGAAGCCCTTAGACGACACTTTCTTCAACATAATTTCAATGGTTTGCTGTTGCTACTGTTGTTGTTGCTGCTCCTAATTCCACCACTACCAGACTCGCAGAACTTCCACTATGCCTCTCCGCACCGCAACATGCCGCCATGCGACCGCCCGACAGCTGTTTCAAAATGTTTCCAACTCAACTAACGTTTGTTTTTGCTCTTGATACCAAAGTTCTGAGAAATGCAGGTATTGCGAGCGTTTGCGCTGATGTCAACGATATCGTGCTTGCAGTGTTTCTGTCATCTTGTTTCGATTCGTAGTGAACTTTGCTGGTCTTTGTGACGTTTGCAGTAGTAATGTCGTTGATCGTTGTCTCTAGCAGCAGCACCATCAGTGTCAGGACAAGTGTTGCCTACCGCTTGCAGATTCAATGGTAGTGAGACGTGAGCTCCAGCTGCAGGCCTCCACCGCCAAGATCCTCCCTTGTGAAGGCTGGGGCGCCTGTCACAGAGGCGCGATCGGAATTTTAAACAAGAGTACTGCTGATGTAGTGCTAGTAGTAGTGGTGGTATCACTGGCAATGCAATCGCAACACTCGCGGTAGTAATGATGCCACTGACCGCCTGAGCCTCATGCTCGCATGAGCCACCTTTGTCCACGGAAACAAGCAGCACGGCGGAAGGCTGATCCTGATTGCTAAGCGCGCCTCAGGGCGCTTCTCTTGCCGGCAGACCGTCGCTGCTTTCAATTCTGTCAGTTTTGTCTTGCAGGCTGGGGGCCCGCTCTGGAGCGCGTTGCGAAGGCTCGGAAGGTGGTACAAGAACAGGAAGTAGCACTCGTACGAGTTTTTTTTATTGTCGGCGGCGGCATGCGATCACCACTCGTTCCTAAGCGCTGTGCTCATCAGCTTCAGGATCAGGCCGGCGCTGCACGAGCGCGGTCTCCGCCTGACCACGGCCTTCCAGTACGTGCCTCAGCATCAGCTCTACTCCCAGTGCAGCCGAAAGAGATTCCCATGGTGACCTCTCGCAGCTCATTTAAAGAATCAAATCCGGAAAAGGAAAGCTTAGAGCTCGGGAGGATGGCCCGAAGGTGCAGCGATCACAGGGAGGGGGGAAATTATGAGGAAGGAGCTGCTTCTGCTCTTGCGGCACAGGCGCGCTGCCGTGGCTCTCCTTCTAGTTGTGGGACTTTCAACTCGTTTGGCTTTTATCCCGAAGGCTGGGAGGCTGAGCAGCTGCATAGGGGTGCAAAGATGTGGCTCACAGGTGACTACTACTGCGACAGGCCGGTCTGCCGACATGACAGGAGTGGAATGCACTCGAGCGCTTGCTCGCCGGTGCGGAGAACATGTCGGAAGAGTTCGCAAGCCTCTGCCATCAGGGAGTCTTATGTCGCTGCTCGGTGCGCCGGCAGCATGGGCCGTGACAGAAGGTTTCGAGGCGTTCGTTCCCTGCTTCCACATGCTCTCGTTTGCCCCACTGTTCGGTTTCGGAAGGACTACAACAAGTTGGCTGTGAAAGCGGCCAAGCCGATCATTGAGTCGTCGCCAAAGCCCGCAGGGGAAGCTCCAAATGATGCTGTCCAAGTGATAGGCGGGCGCGAGGGAGAGCAAGTATGAACGCGGAGGCTGCCGAATGCAGTCTGTGTTTGCAGGTGGTGCCGGAGTTCTCATCGTGGTTGCGCTTTACCTCTTCGCAGCTACCGTTTTTGTGCCCGCCTCAGAAGTGAGATGTATCCGTTGGCAGCTCGCAGAAGCCTTGATCCGTTTCCCTCTACCTCAGTCCGGCGGCAATCGAGACAACAACACGCGGGATGGAAAGCGAATTTAAGCGCTGAGACTGAGCGCCTACCGAGGCCAAAGCTGCCCAAATGCTCTCAAGCGTAGGGTTTAGGATTTAGCAGGCTTTGCAATGTTTCTAAGGCTCCATAATGTAGGTTTTGGGTGGGAGTTAGGGCTTGTGGGGTTTAGGGTCACGGTTCACCCCGTCCTCCTCTCGCAAGAGGTGTGGAGATTGCGCGAGGTTTCCGGCCTCCGGATTTCCACCAGACTTTCCGCTCACATGCGAAAAAAGCAAGCCCATGCACTGATGAAAACTTGCAGGAGAGGTTGTTCGCATAGTCGGGAAGATGATCCGTACAATCGTGCAAGATTAGGCATCAGAACGACCCCGACCATGAGCGCAACACATGTGAATAGGAAAAGGGTTGTTGAGCTGTTGAGTTTAGGGTTGAGCCATCAGCTTGTCTGTCCAGGCGGGTACGAGTGGGCGTTCTTTCGTTGGTACCTGACGACCAACCGACCCACTTTCTAGCTCTTGCTTGACCACTCTGACTACCAGAATCTTGTTTCTAGCAGAAGATCCTGTGAAACAGAAGACCCTGCACAAGAAAAGATTCTAATCACAGAATCCTATCTAGCCCTAACCGATCGACAACAACATCTTGTTCATAGTATGACCACATAGTATGTAACAGTATGTACATAATATGCCTACCTATGTATCTATGTCTATGTTTCTTTATCTATGTATCCACGTATCCATGTATCTATGTATCTATATTTATAGGCAAATATGTAAATGTGTGTATATGTATATCTGTATAAATTATAAAGGTATGTATATGGGTGTATATGTGTGTATATGTGTGTATGTATATAATTTGTGTATGTATGAGTGTATGTATGTGTATATGTATGTGCATATGTATTTGTAAAAGTATGTGTATATGTATGCGTATGTGGACATGTGTGTGTGTGTACTCATATATGTATCTGTGTTTTTGTATGTGTGTGTATATATATATATATATTTTATTTTATATTATATGCAGATGTACATGTATATGTATATGTGCACGTATGCAAACATGATCCCCCCCGCCCCGCACAACCACAGGTCTCACAGATAATACGATGGCCTGCCAATATATACATGGACAGACATGGATGCATCACTACTTCCGATCCGGCCCCACGCCCCCTGTGCCTAGCTTCTCCAACCCTTTCAACCCTTTCGGTCTCTCTCTCTCTCTCTTTATCTCTGTCTCTGTCTCTCCCTCCCTCTGTCCCTCTGTCCCTCCCCATCCGTCTCCGTCTCTGTCTCTATCTTTCTCTGTCTCTCTCTCTCTCTCTGCATCTCTCTCTACCTTTCTCTTCCGCTCTCTCCCCATCTCTTTCAATCTCACTGCAGCGTTTTTCCGCCCCTCTCGCTGCGCTTAGGCGCTGGGTGCCCTCTTCGAGCTCCCGGCTCTCCAAGGAATCGCTGGCACGGGGAGTGGCCTGGATCCCGGGACGAAAGCAGCCGAGAGCGTCTTTGTGGCTGTTACTTGCAAAGCTGTTCGAAGAGCAGCACAAGTGCTGCTTCTAGCGGGAGTTCTACATGGGAGTTTCCGAAAATTAGGGGTACCATATTTGGGGTCCTTATAATAAGGCTACTATTTGGGGTACTATATTAGGGTCCCCTATTTTCGGAAACTCCCACATATGTATAAGTAAACACACGCACACACATATATGTATGCATGTACATATGTTCAACCATCTATTCAGTTATTTTTTGTATACATATACACATACTTGGCTGTTCATTCGGGAGCCTGCTGTAAGCTCTCCTCTGGAGTGTCCCGAAGGCCTCGCTGGTGGGAAGCGACCTGACGGAGCAGCAGCTGCTGGAGCCTTGGAGCCCCCGGTGAGATGGTACAAAGTATGGTGTATATATATATATACATGTATATATGTATGTGTAGAGCATTATATAACTATAGCTATACTTATACATATGTATATATGTATATGTATACACATGTATGTATGTATGTATGTATGTATGTACATATGTATATGTATAAACACAAGCTCTCAAAGCTCCCCGAAGGGAGATGCGAGATTGCTTTCGCCTGCGAAGGCGTGCCTTACATGGGGCAATGTGCAGAAATCCCGACGTGGGGGCATCCATGGAGGTTGGCGTCTTGAACTTCGAACGTGCACGCGAGAGATACCGGTTTGAGACCGAACTGCAGGAGTTCATCGGCGCGTTCAGTGCTTGTGAGGGCGAAGGCTTTGAAGCCTATGCTCGTGAGCTGTCCGCGCCCCGTCCGGGCTACCATCGCGGGTTACCGGAGCCGACATGTCACTATCTTTTCCTTTGCTTCCTGACCTGGGCAAGGCTTCGCCGAGCAAGTCGGGCACTACTCCGCCGTGCCAAGGTTTCTGCTGTTCCTCTTTCCTTAAGTTTGCAGGGCTTGCTCAGTCAGAAGCGGGACCGTGCGGAAAGCTACGGCATGGTCTGGCGTCGGCTGCTCTGCGCTTGCCGGTTCTCCCCTCTCTCGCAGCCATTGTTTGGTATTGAGGCCACGAAAGAAGCCTTTCATGAAGTAGATTCATGTTTCCGAGGGCCCAGGGATGCCAAGTAACAGTTTCATAACAGTTTCACCCATTCTCCGAAGCTCAGAACTTCCAATCCGCCCCGTCGCTGCCATGGCGGACCCAGCTGTGGAGAAGACCTGGTCCTCCAAGACCAAGGAGTCTTCCTTGCTGAAGTTACTTCTGAGGTTACGAAGGATCACGAGGGACTAAGTTGTCATTTTCAGGACCCATTTGCCGTAGGTCAGGGCAAGCTATCTTGTTTCATGTAAGTTCATCACGACGGCTGCCTGAAGAGCTTGCAGCAGATGTCGTTCGGCGTGTTCCGGGTCGGCACCGGATTTCCGGGCGTCACCGTTGTTTGACGGCACTTGTGTGGGGATGGACGTGGTCCTGGAATTTTCACCCCTCCCCCGAAAGGCATGTGTGGCATACTGCTCGAAGGGCCATAGTTTTGTTTCGCAGGCTCAGCGGCACATGCTCTGAAGTCTGAACCTCCAAACCCCACACCCTGCGAAGCCTGAGGCCTTGCCCGCAAAACCCTGCATACGAAAGCCCTGCCCTGATAGACCTCCTTGAAGGAGATCTTCCAGAAGTGGGACGTGCACAACACCGGGGTGATCACTCGTAAGCGGCTTCAGGGGCTCCTTTCACAGGTGGGGTTAGGGCTTTAGGTTTTTGGATCTTTCTGTTTTGGACAGGTTGTTCGGGTTTTGGCAATTTAGGGTTGTAGGATCTGGGGCTTTTATGGTTTGAGGGTATTTTAGGGTGTTGGAGCTTTGGTGGTTTGAGGATTTGTGGATTGAACGGAGGGCTGAAACCCTAAGCCCTGAACTCCTAAAGTCCACGTCGGGAGCAAGGCAAATTTCATGTCCGTTCCTGTACCTATCCTTTTTTCGTTCTGGCGTTTTCCCAGGCCTTCCCTCTCGCTTCCCTTCCGTTTGCGGTTCGTGTTTTCACTTCCGTGCAGGCTTCCATCCAAAGATGATTTCGCTTCAATTCTCCGAAGGGGAAACGGAAAGCCTGGCACCTGAGGAAACCGAACGGGATTTTACTGTTTCTTTTCTGTCTCCGGTGGTGCCGGCTTTTCCGTTCCCGGTCTCGTTTTCGGTTTTCCTTCCTCCAGCAGTTGCCGTTTCTGGTTCCGTTTGCGGCCTTAGTATCCTGCGGCTTCCGCTTTCGGCTTCCCTGTCTGCCTTAGCTCCATGCCGCCCTTGGGAAGCCAGAACGGAAGAAAAACCAAACGGAAAAAACGAAGGGTAGGACAGGAACGGAAACGTGTTTGGGTGACTCTTGCAGAAAGTGGTCCTGAAAACCTCTCTGAAGCTTAATCACCACATGCAAGGCTCCTGCTCTCACGCTCTTTCATCTGTAGGTTCGTAGGTTTAGGCGGATGGAACAGGGCCGACAACAAAAGGGGTCCGTAAGCTCAGATCCAAAAGAGATTTCGGGGTTCTTTGATTCAGTTTCTCTGTGAGGTGGCCGGTAAGGCTGTCACCGAGGAGGAGATCGAGCGGTGTATCAGCGAGGCCGTTGTTGCTACTAGTAGTACGTATAGTCTTTTTTTTTACGATCAATGAATAGCGGGCATGCTGCAAACACCGAGTAGTACGCAGGGTAGGCCGTCTCGCGTTCAGGGCTTCAGGAAGGTTTGAGTTCGGTGTCCGGGAGGCTGACAAGAACAACAATGGGCTCATAGAGTACAACGAGTTTATCGAGTGGCTACAGCAGCCTTGTGCGACGGTACGCATGGGATCGCAAGGCCTCGAGTATTTCAGCCTCGAGGCAGCTGTCCGGCCTCTCTATGACGTCTATGACCAAAACGGGGATGGCCTGGTCTCCATGGAGGAGTTCGTACAATGTCAGACCATCCTTCAGAACTGCTTGGGCCTCCGGAGTGAGACGGCAGCCCCATTAGAAGACCAGTTCAAGAAGCAGTTGGGGAAAGAAGGTGCCTCCGCGAGCCTCTCCGTCTTCGACAACTCTCCCAAGCGAGCGTTTGGACACGTGGACGCAGACAACAGCAAGGGCATCACCTTCGAGGAGTTTGTAGACTGGCAGCGGAAGCAGCTCGTGGCAGCACGGACCCCGAGCAAGGACTGCAGTGACCATGTAGCTTGCAGGGAGGTTTCCACGACAGCAAGTGCTCCGGCTGGCCCGTGTACCATTCTAGCACATCGACGACGTCCGCGGTCGGCGGAAACCTTGTGGATACAGCATGGCTTCTGAACCTGCAATCTATGCGCGTGCGTGCGTGAGTGCGTGCGTGCGTTTGCATGTATGCGCACATGCACCAGCAGCGTAACGTTCTGAAATTCCATCCTTTGTCGCTCTGTCCTTTGTTGCTCTGAACTCTGAAATGCCCTGAAACATCAGCGCCTGCAGCAACTCCAACGTCACTACCCGTCTATAACCAGCTTCTGCATTGGGATGCATGAACTGGCTTTGTTCCCAATCCAACCTGTGGACGCATCCACGAGACGTCTAGCCTCCTGAAAGGAGCTGGAGGAGCTTCTGCCTGCCCTGGCGCGACAACTGAAACGGGTTTTCAAGTTCGATGAGCAAGGAGAGAAGGATGGGAGGGAGGAGTGCGATTCCAGGGTCTTGCAGAAGATCGTGGACAATCTCGCATCTTGACCGCATGGTTTGCAAGGTTCCTGATCAGCCAGTTGTTGGGTTTTCCAGCTTCTGAGCACAGGCTAAGATGTGTATGGAGATCTGGTCCAAGAAAGAGGAGGAGGAGACCAAGGCCAAAGACATTAAAGCTTTCATGGGGAAGGCACCCTTCTCTTGCTTGTTGTGTGCCGGCTGAGCAGCATGGGCGTGCCAATCCACACGTTGCTTTGGGAGTAGGCCCGCCACTACACCAACCGGTGGACGGAGCCTCCGGTGGGATTGAATGTCAAGAAGCTCAAGGAAGGGTTTGCTTGTTTCGGCGTCGTGTGAGCTTGCATCAGAAATTCTCAGGTACGTGCCTGTAGTCACTGTAGTCCGTATCTTTGGCTGGATGGAACTGGTGCATAGTTGCAGCCACCGAGTCCCAGCATGGCTTGGCCAGGCAAAGTTCCTTGCCACAGAGTCCTGCACGAGGGTGACAGAGAACATGGACCTAGACTTGATGGTCATTCCAGTTCTTGCAGAAGGCTCGAAAGCCCAGTGGCAAGTGCTGATGCGACAACTCAATAACGCCTTTACCGCTGCCAGGGGATGATGTAAACCCTCGCAGTCGAATATGGCTGGCCGCTTCGCTGCATTTGCTACATCCGGGGCTTTTGCTGGGCTGCAGAACTTTGTGGCTAGTATTGTTGAAAAAATGCTTCCTCCACGCATGCCGTTCTGCAAACCGCGGACACTCTGTGTGCTGCTGCGTGAGGCTCAGATCATCCAGAAGGCCTGGTTGTGACCCTTTTGCGGGATGGTCGTTCCAGTGGCAGTCGTATGCCGGCAAAGCAGCTTCTGAGATGGGCAGTGCAAAGCCCAAATGTCGAAGTGACAGCTCAGTTGGAGCTAAAATTTGCGCTTTGAGATTGGGCAGCAGCACCCGAGGAACATCCTTTGAGGGATATGCCATCTGATCTAAAAACATGACGGGACAGGTCTAGAGCAGTCGTTCTTTACGAACTTGTTACGTGCCAGCACCAGGTCACGATGAAGGATGGCAAGGTTCGGGAGGACGATCCAGTCCCTCGGTTTGAGAATTTTACAGCTCCGTTTTGCGATGCATACATGCAGAGCAGCTGTAAACTAAAGCAGCAGCTCCACTTGGAGTTTGATATTGAGCTTGTTACGGTGCAGGCTCAATCCAGATTTGTGCTTTGAGCGACTTTCGTTTTGGATGGGATGTAGCCAGTAGTCACGATCACTTCCGATGATGCGGAGTAGAGGCTCAGCCGTGTGATGTCGGGTCTATTGCTTAACGGGGTGCGCGAAAGGCCTGATCCTGTTGCGAGAGAGAGCGAACATGTCCGGACATGCTCTAAGTAAGGGTTTGTAGCAGGGGGCAGTACGAAGGGAAAAGCAAGGTCTACTACGAATTCGAGTCTTTGTCCTGGCACAAGACGGATGAAGCAGCTCGCCAGCATAGCTATCATGGGACTTGACAGCATCCCTTGCTTATCAGCTTTGGGCTTTGGAAAAGTTGATGTACACGCAAATGGGCGTGGACTTGGCATTCGTTGACATTCACGCCCACTATGCTTAAATTTTATCTGTGGCAGCACGAAGCCCAACATAGCGGTTTCTGCTGCAAACAGTTTCTGCTGTAAACAGGCTGTAGAGGAGGGACAAATGTAGACAATTGCAAGTAGGCCGCTAAGGCTAAGACACTTTCTATATCCCTCTGCTGCTAGAGGGGTCTTACTTCAGAGTGCCAACTTGGGTTCCATGCCATACAGGGCAGCCGATATGGATATAGTCAGTTATCTCGCGCAGATCGGGGCTGCTCGAGATGGCTGGTCAGTTGGAGTGGTGAAACGCCCTCCGCTCTTGTCACTGCATCAAGATATCCCTTCGTATGCACGGTGGGTCAACCAACTCCGGTTTTGCCGCTCGAAGCAATGGGACAACAAGCCGCTGATCCAACTGACGCTAAAACAACGACGTTGTCCAACCGGAAACTGTCCGTCTTGGAAACAAATGAGACTAAATGAGCAGGCGAAATGGTTGTTATGAGAACGCGGGATTCAAAGCCCCATGCCTGTCAAATGTTTTGGCCGAGCTCGTGCAACTCAAAATCAACCGGATGCAGATAGTTAAACAGCCTTTGGCTGATGAAAGCCTTCTGCATCTGACAAGAGGAACACTACAGCTTAACGGGAAATCTGCTGTTCGCATTGATGAACACGAGGAGCATTATCACAGCAGTCAGCATCATCAATGCAACAGCAAATCTTCCAGCGTTTTGACAGCGGTATTTGGCGGCAGCAGCAGAAATGTGATGGTTTGTTTTGCGAAGTTTGATCATACGAGTGCACGTTGTGTTGAGGCCATGGAGAAGTTCCACACCGTCCGACGCTCAAGCCGTGTCTGCCGCATGACTTTCTCCTGTCTACTCTGGCAGGCTTTGGACGCTCTGCCACCCGAGCTTCGCATGTTCTCGCTTCTCAAGGCTTAGTGTGCGACCATGCAGATAGATGTTTGACCACACCAGCAAGAACGAGCTTCCTTCGCTCCCCTATTCCTGCACAGGCCGAAGCTGACTTCGGTCACAAAATCACTTGGGAACAAGTCGAGAGGGTCTTGAACAGGTGCTGGCCCACAGATTCGGATCCGTAGAGTGTCTACAGGGAGGACATAGAGCCGCCGCTTTTAGGAAGACTATGATGCCAGTCGTGACAGGTGCCTGAGCCATGGCATCCTGACTGCCGCCCAGATCTCCGAATATACCAGCAACATGGAGCTACGCGTGACGAAGGCATTGAAAGATGAGGAGACGCGGCAGGGAGTCGTTCGGCACGGTCATGTTGCTGTCGCATCGCAGTCAGGATCTGCTCTCGGGCATGTCAGCAGAAGAGTCCAAGAAGAAGGTCCGGGACAGCCTCCTGGCCGTCTCGCAGAGGTGGGACACTCTGGATGGGCGATTGCTCTGTCTGACTTCTTGCCACAGCCCCTTCCAGGCCTCAAGACATCATGGCTACATAGCTGCATTTTATGTGCTCGGTGGCTCATACTCACAGACCTCCAGTGCAGACCCATCTGCACCTTGATGTTTCTGCGCTTGCACAAAGGCCATGCTCAGTGACTTAAAAATCTTCAAAGTCAGCTCGGTTTGGGCCGATTTCATGACAGCCGACTGAGTGGATTGTTCTGAACTGCTGAAAGCAAGTGTAATGCATGTCTCATGCTTTGCTGCACAACGCTTGGTGAAGAGGCTCAGCATCTTCATGCTACAACTTCGCATGTTCGCGAGAAATGTCAGCAAAGACCGTGCCGCAGGATATGAACATCATGTCTTGTGGCAACCTACATGACATCTCTGTTCGCGATAAGCAATGCGCCGAACGGCTTACAGAGCCCCGGTCCGCTTGCATCTGCAGCCGTATCACACTCTCTTCGACCGCTAGCGTCTTTTTCGTTTCTAGCCGTAGGGGCTCCTGAGAGTCAATGCTGCTCCCGGGATAGCCTCTTGCGATGGGAAAAAGATACCTGCATCGTGAGTTTGAGTTCTTCCCAGTTTGAGGGCTTCCCACCAGAAAGAGGACTGGCATCTTGCAAGGGCTCGCTCTCCGGGGCCTTCGCGACCCTTGACATCACAGGCGAAGGGGAGGTGAGCCGACGCCTCAGGCGCGACAAAACTCCGAGCTCTGGCGTCTTGGCGCCTTCTTTGCTAAGGACTTCCAGGGTTCAGAGCTGCTCTGCTTCAGTTCGGCGTTGGCTGCTCAGAGTGGGTGACTCGAGCTTACAGTCAGCTTAGCCAGAAGCATGCGAAAGCCACGCAGAGGATTTAAACCTTACCGACGAGCAGGTGAACAAGCTCTGGAAGCCGAGGGCTTGGCCTCAAAAGCGGCTGATCTCCCCCCCAAGGGCAGTAAGAGACTAGACTGTTGAGTAATTGGTAGTAAGCATAACAGCAACAGTGGTCACCCCAGCCATGAACACAAACAGCTTGACCCCGCCACTTGAATCTGCGTCGGTCAGGACTGCACAAGCTCTGGGAGGGTGCAAGGATGCCCGAAGCCTGGCCTGCTTCGAGTGGCGTGATCAGCAAACTACTGCCAAGACTTTCCCAGGAAGCGATGGACTTCATGTCCTTTAAGACTGTCTTCGGCCCGTCCGCCGTCGACTCTCCGGGCGATGCAGGTCCAGCCGGCTTGGGTTTCATCCTGATGTCATGACGATGCTGGCCATGCTTCCTATTGACTCCTTAAGCGGATTCTAGCAGCCGATATCCTGAAATCCCTAAACCCTAAACCCTATGCTCTTCCGGCCAGGTGATGGCGAGGACGATGCTGCCAGAGCTGCAAAGCGCGACCCAGGGCCGAGCCTTGAGGAGACTGGCTCTCAGACACGGTCGCACCATCTACTGTTCTCTACCACTGTCTATCGGTGTCTGTCCGTCTCTCCATGTATCTGCCCACCTACCCATCTGTCTATCTGCTTACCTATCCCTCTACCCACCCATCCTGTCTATCCATCTATCTATCTATCTACCTGCTATCTATCCAAGCAGCAGCAACAGAAAACCACCAGAACTATCACTGCCACTACCGCTGCCGCTGCCACAATTACTACGACTGACGCTGCTACTGCTGATGCTACTGCTAGTACTAGTACTAGTACTAACACCGCAACTCCTGCTGCTACTACTACCAGTACTACTACTGCTGCTGCTGCTACTACTACTACTACTACTACTACTACTACTACTGCTCCTGCTGCTACTACTACTCCTTCCACTTCTACGTCTGCTAAATCCATAAACGGTTCGACGCTTGTGCGCTGTCACAGCAGCATTATTTGCCGTTTCTGCATGCAAATCTGGATGGTTGTGTCGCGCAATGCCGTGTCTTTCTGTATGGGCAGGCTCTCCCGTCTGTTCTGCACTCCAATTGCGGCTTCTTTCTGTTACATAGAGTCACGTAGCCATGTCCTACTTCTGCACATCTACAGATCCCTGTGCAGGTTCACGGGTTCCTTCTCTCGTGGTGTGCAAAACTGGATGTTCATTATTGGGCTGCATCTCTCGGTGCAGTGATGTTTGTTCTCCCGGAGCTTCCGTGGAGACCGAGAGGTCGTGCTTCCATCTGTATCGGCTGCAGCGGACGGAAGTGCTTCGAGCTGCCATCTTCCGTGGGAGCCCCGGTAACACCAAGAAGGTAAATGATGGCTCAATGCGCCACGAAGCTTTATCGGACGAGAGGCGTCGTGGTGCTCAGGGTCGCATCTTTCACCTGTCAGGTTCAGCTCCGGAGGTCTTTCTTCCATTTGACCTCTTGTCTGCAGCGGTTCGAGAGGCCCAGAAACCACCAGATTCACAAAACGAATTCGCGGCAATTTGTGATGCCGAAGGCTGCGCCGGAGCTTTCCGACGACGAGGTGTCTCAGGTTTGCCGGCTGGCGCGAGTGCCTCAGTTGCTCTGGGCTGGCGGTGTGCTTTCTCGACAGTTCGCATGTTCAGCACTGCGGATGCAGCTTGGTGGTGACAGAGGCTCAAAGGTTCCATGTCAGGTTCCAGCTGCATAGCAGCTTCAGATAAAGCCATGTCCACCGAGATTGACTGGGACCGTGTCTGGCAAGAAGATTTCTCAGCTGTGAAAGAAGTCTTCCATGCCTGCCTGGAAGTGCGGAGTAGTCCAGAAAGTGGTCGAGGAGTATGGGCGGCAGGGCCGCTGAGAGTTGGGGAGCTGCTTGTCGCTGAGAGAGCTCTGGGCATTTCTCCGGAAGCTGAACTCGGGCCAACTCTGGCGAAGATGCAGTCAGACCTGGACCCTCGCAACGTGCAGCAGCTGTTGCATGTCTTGTTCCTCTCAAACTAGTCAGAAGCCCTAAGCCTCTAAGCATCCCTAAACCCTTTAAAACAGTGTTTTTTAATAATACTAATAATAGTACTAAGAATAGTAATAATAGTTTTCCCCTAAGCTCCGATCCGCCAGGCCCCGCTGGATTGGAAACGGCTGAACCTGATGTGTGACGGGGAGGAGCTGCCGACGTTCGCTGATGCCGTGCCGCTGCCAGCATGGCCGAGCCAGGCATATCCGCTTTGCCCGGAGAAGTACAGCCCAGAACATGCTATTTCTGTGCGACGAATGAGCCGAATCGTTGATTTGAACGCATATAGGTGTGCTTCCCCTGTGAGTGAATATGCGTTCATGGACGGTGAGTCGCAACGAAGCGAACAGGAGCGTCACGAGAGCTATGGCGTGTTTCCGTTGGCGTCCTTGTTCAATCATGCCTGCACGCCGAACATGTCGAAGGTCTTGCTGAAGGACTGGGTGTTGCTGAGGGCGGCGCGTGAGATCGAAGCAGGAGAGGAGCTGACCCAATTCTACTGCGACATACGGATGCCCGTTGAGATGAGACAGAAGGAGCTGCGAGATCTCTTTGGTTTCCTTTGCGGCTGTCGCAGATGTCGCTTCGAGCTATCACTGCAGAAGACGGAGCAGGACTTGGAACCCTGGAGACGACTCTATAGCTCAGAAGTTCCAGGATATCAGAAGTTAGGACCCATCCAGGTGTCTCAGCTTGAAGGCCTCGTCTGTGAGGCAGAAACTGTGGCCCGAAAGGCCTTCAAGAGCTTGGAGCGAGGAGAGCAAAGCGCCGCTACAGAGAGCTGGCTGCTGTGGCCCCTGGTGCCTGCGTTCCAGCAGCTTGCAGCGCGGCTGCGGCTGGACGGCCGACGAGCTGAAAGTATGGAGTTCTGGAAGCGAGCGGAATCGTTGGCAAGAGCCGTAGTTCCGTTATCCAATATACATCTCCACATCCATGCTGAGATGCTTCTAACAAAGTGCAGCAAAGAACTGCTGGAAGAAAGCCTTAGGATGGTGGCTGCAGCATTTGGTGGGGGTTCAGCCGTGTGGCAGAGGCTGTTTGGCTTTCGGATGACCAGAGAAATGGCAGAACTCGCCGACGTGTGCAGCTCAAGCCTAACACCTGAGCTGTCTCCGATCCACTATCAATGGGCGAAGTCGGCCAATGATACTTCGGAGCTCCTGACTCTGTGCTCCGCTGCTTTTGAGCGACAGAGTGAAATTGTGGTTGACGTCTCGCCTGAAATGGTTCTTGTGAGTGCACCAGGCGCCCTTCAGCAAACTGTCAGGTACCACTTCAAAGCAAGGGTTGATTCCATCCTTACCAAGTTCTCGAAGCGCCGCCGATGCCTGACGCTACACATCCCAATGGAGACGGACAGCGCATCAGAAAAGAATCAGCGCCGCAGTCCCTGCACCCCGAGCACCCCCCAAACTGCACCAAGCGCTATGCCAAGGCCTCAAAAAGGCGGCGTGCTGCATGGAGAGGCCTTGCCCGAAGCCTCCCCGATCACGCAGCCTCTCTGTGCAAGAGACCTCCATGTTCCAGGATGCGTATTCCTATGGTCATCTTCTCGAACGTCTGGAAAATGATAAGAAGGAGCACAGAGATCTCTCTGCCAAGAGTCACTGGCCATGACTGAGAGCTGTGCGAATCGGTCGCTCTTGTGCCCTTGGGGCTCTTGGCGAGGATTTCCATCCCTTGAACCTGCGTTGGCGACTGAGTTTTCTAGACTTTTTCTAGTTTCGTGCTGCGCACTGTCCTGATCCTGGCACATACTGTAGCTGCTCTACATTCCGGTCAGTTTTTACGTTCCATTGAGGTGAGCGCGGCCCAGCTGCTGACATGTGCCGCTACATCGACCAGCGACTTCAGGCAGGAAGGTTTTTGCTCGGCAAGGTTCATTGCGTATGCTACATGCTTTCCACCACTGATCAACTTCCCCCAGCCAGACGAGATTAGAGCGCACGGTCGCAGCTGACAAATGCCGGAAGATCAGTTTAACTTAACAACAGAAGCTATGATACCGTAATCGCAGGTTTAAGAAGACAACACATGGCTCCACCCGTCCCTCCGTTGGAACTGATCTCCATTGCCTTTTGCAGAAGTCTGCTTCCCAAGCTTCAGACTTGGGAACTGAGGCTGAGGCAACCATGTTTACCGGTCAGCCTCTCTCAAGGGATATGAAAGCTGCACCGTTTTCTGTGTCGTAGATGTATACTATCAGTCTACCATGGAGTCTACAATGAATCATAGAGATGAAGCTGGACTTCCTAATAGGACGCTAAACCCTAAACGCTGATAGAGCCCTAAACCCAAACCCGAGTAGAACACCCTAGTAGAACCATACGGTCTAAAGGAACCTTAAGCCTCAACTACAACCTTAAGCTCTAAGTTAAGACCCTCGGAACTCTGATTTAAACTGCGACGCATCGAAAGCCGATGTCCTTGCGTCATACATACCATTTTGTAACATAGCCCTTCTACGTAGAACCCCTTGAATTTTAAACTAGCCCGTATAGAACCCCTGGAAATTTTAAAAGCCTAGCCCCTGTAGAACCCTTTGAAATTTTAAAACATAGCCCTTATGGAACCCTTTGAAATGTAAAACATAGCCCTTATGGAACCCTTTGAAATGTAAAACATAGCCCTTATAGGACCCTTTGAAACCTTTATGGAACCCTTCAAAGGAGCCCTGATGGGAGTTTCCGAAAATAGGGGTACCTTATTTAGGGGTCCTTATAATAAGGATCCTACTAATTGGGGTACTATATTAGGGTCCCCTATTTTGGGAAACCCCCTGATTGAAACCCTCGGAAGGCTCAAGGCTTCGTCTCTTTGGCTTCGGCCATGCAGGATGCGGAGGCCCGGGCTCGGGTCTGGAGCTCTTGAGTTTAGGTTTTAGGGATTTAGGGTTTAGGGGTTTAGGATTCAGAGGTTTAGGGTTTTGGGTTGAGACTCCCTGGTTTATTTTAGTCGTGTTTGGGCCTTTTGTCGTTGTGGCTGCTATCAGCAGTTTGGATTTTGGGGGCTGAGGTTTTTTGTGTTTTTATGAAAGTTCTTGCAATTCGCAGACTTTTGGATGTTGCTTGTTTGCGCCAGGTGCTGCGAGCCACAGCCTCATGTCAGGATTTCTTACGGGATTGCCAGCTATGTTGCTGCCAAGCCGAGGCGGACATCCTCCTCGACCGGCTTCTGAATTACTTGCCGCAGCCGATTCGTCCAGAGGCTGTGGGCATCTGGATGAAAGTCGGACATGATTCTTCTGCATGAGGAAAGCACAGCCTCAGGCCTAAATCCTGAAAGCCTACACTTACACTGTGGGCTTCAGTGCTTGAAAGGACCAGCGCGTGGTGGAGAACATGCTCCGCCTGGGCCGGCCATTGCGTGTGTGGCTCAAGGATTCATCGGCTTGTGTGCAATGCCTTGTTTCGCCCGCGCCCCAAAGGCGATGGCACGTTGGATGCCACAGAGCTGGACCCCTGGAAGCCGCTCAATGCTTTCGGTGGCTTCGGCATGGTTCTGGAACTCCGAGGTTCTGCCAAAGGTTTGAGCTGCTGGCACGCAACGGCACCGTTGCTGGCCGGGAGCCTGTAGCACCGGCCTGGCTCCCAGTTGTCCTTCAAGGCTGCAAATGGAAAGATGCCCTGCGTCTGAAAGTGCAGCTGCCTGGACAGGGAACTCTAAGCCACAGCTCTTCAAGTCCTCAAGTTTCCAGATCACAAGACTTGGAGCCTCTACAGTGTACTCCGGTAACTTTGGAAGCCACTACGCATCACTAGTGTATGCAGTGACCTTCTGAGATTCCAAGGTGAGTCCCTCACGGTCTGCCCGTGACGCCAGACTGCAGCTTCGGGAGAAGTCATCGCCTGAATTTGGAGAGCTGCAGACAAACAACCCGTGCCGTTTTGTGCTCTTCGGTGACACGTCGTATCTCATGTGGCCCCATACGGCCTCGACTGAGGGTTCGGCTGCCAAGCGCCTGGTTGGCTTGTCCCCGCTCTTGGGCCTCGAGGTGCTCCAGGGCCACAGCTCAGGGTGGGACCTTGGACGTTGAATCTGAACGTCTAGGATGCTCTAGGTGCACTCCTGTGTCATGACACCCTCTTCGTGTGCAGGATGCTCGGGCGCAGCCGTGGCCGCCCGGCGCAGGGACCTGCAAGCCGTGAGCAGGCGGCGCCTCCGCCGCCAGCCCCTCCAGATGGCCCGCGCCCTTCGGAGGACGCGACTCAAAGGTCGGCAGGAGATGGCAGAGCACAATAATTCGGGCCCGAGGCACGTTGCAGGTTGTCTGCACTGACCAAGCAGTTTGAGAATGCAGTCCCGCAGCGAGTTGTTGACGCATGTCGCTACGCTGGTCGCAAACCTGTATGTTGCTAGTTTCAGCCATATTGCAAGTTGACCACATGCACGTGCTTCTGCTGAGGGCCAGTGCGGAATTTCATTTCTTGCAGTGCTTGGGAACTTGCATTTCTGCTTTTCTGCCCTCGGGACGACGAGAACGGTAGAACTGCTGGAGGTTTTTGATGTGCTGAGATCCGTTTCGTTGCAGCGTGGGCTGCTCGTGGGCTGATGATCTTCGGACTGAAAAGCAATGCACTTCCGTTGGAGGAGAGTAGAATGGCAATGGATCCCGGGCTAAATTCGGACTCCACCGGTCGGACGGACCTGACGTGTACAGGCTTGCTACAAGCTACTTGGGTTGGACTTTCGGGGTTCAGACGACGAAAAAGATTTCGATGGAGTTCTTCGATAAGATACATTTAATTAATGAATGCGTCATGTTTGGCAGAATTCGCATTGCTTGCCTTGTTTTGTCGACCGAAGACTGTTCAGATTCAGCACCGCACAGGCTGATAGGTCAGGGTCGGATGTGGTGCACGGCTAGCTACAGAAGCAACATAGTGAATCCGCCTAACATGATGGAGGCCATTCTTGACATGCAAAGTATCCGCGGGTACGTATTTGAGAGAGTTGCTAAGACTTAAGATGTTTAGGCGTAGCTGTTTCCTCGCTGCCAATGTTGTCTATGGCTGCCTTTGCAGTAATATAGAAGTTGTCATCTTCGGCGTTCCTCTCCTCGCCATGGTGCTCCTCGAGGTAGCTGCCGCAACCAACGCGTGACTTGACATGATTACAGTACAAGGTGAAGTTTCAACTATGTCTCAACCATCCAGTGCTCACACGTTGAAAACCTGAGCTCAGATCTGCGTACTTGTTTGGTGCCATCTACTACGGCGCGCGTTTCGTGGGCCAGATCTTGAAGGCCTCGCGGTGCGAGAGACCCGAGCAATGGATTTTGGAGGTTTGGGAATGGGGGGGCCACGGATTTCAGACCTTCCAGGGCCCGGAGACGGAAAGCTCGGCGGAGCCGCGTGGCGTCGAGACTGGGGCCAAGCTGTGCTTAAGGGGACCGTTACATGCAGCGGCCAGATGATAAGCAACGGATCTAATGGACTTCATGCAGTCATAGTAACAACCCTGCTTCTGTCCCTCCAACCCCCAACTTGTGCCACCTCTCAACAAGGTCCACGGCATGGAGTGCCGACCGCATCCTCGAACAAGCCCGTGCCGCTGGCCCAGCCCGTTCTTCGCAGGATGGAAGTTCTCGGATCTCTTGCTATGCGTGGCCGCTCAAGGCTGACGGCCTGGAAGACCACTTCAGGAACTCCTTCACAGAAGTTACTAGGTTGCACTTTAGACGATGATTCACGGCCTCAAACTCACTTCCAGAGTTCGCAGGTGCATCGATTTGATGGGTTGCATGGCGTGTGCGTCTCGTTCTTTGTCTCGTGTGTGTGTGTGTGTGTGTGTGTTTTTTTCTGCCTACAACACGGCCTAAACCCTAAACGGCTCGGGCAAGCCTTATATCAAAAGGGGGCGAGATATCCGTAAACGATCGTAAAAGCAACCCAAACCCCCAAAACGCAGAACCTTCAACCCCAAAATGAGTGAGATAACGGCAAAAACCCTAGACCTGAAATGGAGCGGAAGCCAACAACGAATGAGAAAACTTGTCAACAAGCCCAGCTCAAAACACTGTAAGGAATGAGGTAGCCCCGAGAAGAAGCCCTACGGTGAAGGAAAGGAAACCCTAAGCCTCAAAACCCTCTTGAAGGATACCTCAAACTTGTAGGGAAAATAGAAACCACGAACCCTGAACCCTAATCGCCCTAATCCCTAAACCCAGAGCCTTAAGCCCTCAATCTTAACAACAGCGAAGCCCCCCAAAAACACCCCATATGCAAATCTCTATGCAAAAGGGCAGAGGGACACCGGGAACCCGAAGACGCGTGAATTTGAAATGAGAGCTAACCCTTAAAGAACAGAAACCCGAAAGCTAGGAAAGCCAGAACCCTTAAAGGAGTGAAGCCGGAAAAAGAGACGGTGAACGGTTAAATGGGAGGGACAGCCTCAACCCTAGAAGTTCGGCAGAAAACTTAAATCTCTCTAAACTTGAAAAGACGAGGAAACCCTAAATCACGAAAGAATCCTAAGCGCGAAGAGGCATGAAAAACCTGAAAAGAAACGCACGCCTGAACTCTAACAGGAGTGAGACAACCCTGAAAACAAACCCGAAAGCCGAACGCCTAAATGGACGGAAACCTTAAACCCTCAAGGGAGGCACGACAACTTCAAAAAAACGCTCAGTTCTAAAAGTGTGGGAAATGGTGAACCGGAAAAGGAGACAAGCCTGATTCGTCCGACGCACATTGAGCTCACAATCTTTTCGTGGCGAAAAAACTGTAGATGCGGATGCGACCAGCACTACCACTTACCCGGAAACTATGTCACACGTTTGACGGCTGGGTGGCACGCTATGACGCAACCTCGACAGCAAAGCAGACGCGGGTTTAACCTCCCGGCCCTCCTTTTTGCAGGAATGTTGTTCGCTTGCCTGGGTTGTGCCCTTAGGTCCACGCGGCCGAGAAAGAGAAACGCCTGGCGCAATTCCGCGAGGAAGAGCTTCCGGACGACCGTGATGGACAGGACCGGACTGTTACGTAGGGAGTTTGGGTGGTGCAGGTAGGGGCCTCATTCTCAGTCCAAATATTCCTAGGTGCATATCCGCTCTGTCCCAAGACACCGGAACACGAAGAAAAGCACAACGCCTTCAAGTCGAGCCTGAGTTTTTCTCCGTGCGGCGTGCTCCTGCCGAATCTTTTCGCAAGAACCGAGAAGAGCCACGAGACGCGACAGTCCGTTGCCAGAGTTTCGCTTGGACTTCGAGTTTTAAATTACCAGCATCTGTTTCGTGGCTGGCCGGCCGACAAGTATGCAGCTCTCGCATGCTGGCTCCAGAAATTCTGTGAGGCACCTCTCGTGATTGATTAAGCATAAGCTCCGTGGTTCACATGCCTCCAGCCACCTGAAAGCTTGTAGCGCCTAAGGAGCCAGCTTGATTCTGACAGCATTCCACCAAAACTGAAGTGAATCCTTCATTTTGCTTCTAGCCGTGGACTTGGAGAGGATCTTGCGAGATGGCTCGCCGAAGAGGACAGCAGGGTTGTCGAATGGGATGGGACAGACAGTGTGATGCCAGACACAAATTCCTTTCAAGGCGATGAGAGTTGTTCATAGGCTCAAGGGCAACTTTTGTGTCTTCCTCCTGACGTCAAATTATTTCCGCATCTTGGAGTTTGTCGGGGAGAGTTGGATCTCCATGATTGTAGCAAGATCATAATCGAGTCTTGCACAACATCCTGCAAGTGCTGGAGTGCCCAGGAATAAGGAAGTGACGGTTGAGGCTGCTAGGTCGTGCAAGCTCAGATGTATTCGTGACGCTCCACCCGTTATGCAGGACCCTGCATCCTGTGATGAGTTCGACTTCAACATGGTCGCCTTCACGGACAGCGGCCCAGGGATTGCAAAGATTCCCAGATAGGGTCGATAGCCTTGTGCGTCAACCTTCTGGTATTTTCCGGTCTCAGGACATCCTGGACCAGGACTGCATGGCTGACTCCACGTCCACGACGGCCAGCAGCCAGCAGTCCACGGGCCGCGACTCGGCAGCATGATGCAGCATTGCACATGGGAAACTCACCAATTCAGTGCAGATGTGCTGTGTTGACTTGGTCTATTTTACAGCTTGTTACTCTCTTGCTCTAGGCATGCGGCGCACGCCGGAAGAGCTAGAGGCCATGCAGCTGCCGGGATCTCATGCGAGGGGTTGTCCGCTGCTGCATAATGGTTTTCAGCACTTCCATTCCGAGGCAAGATGCAGCACGCTGGACAGAGGCTCGCTCGGCACCGACGCGGCTGCCAAATCCGGAGGAGGTGTAAAGATCCACGGTTTCCCTCAGTTCTGCCATGTTCTTTGGGCGTCTCATCAGGAGAGGCGGGAGAGGATGCGCAAAGCCGCCCTCCATCCGGACGCCGTGCCTGGGCTCATCTTGTAGCTGTTTTGCCAATAGCTTCGCCTGCCTTGTGGGCTAGCGTGCGCCTGTGTGTCGCGTGTACATGTGCAGTGTCAATTGTATGTGCCCCTTACATCCCCTACACAGTTTGGCCATCGTGGCAGACGTTTGCAGAAAGTTTTGGAGCTTTGTTGCAGTTGTTGCGGCGCTGCTGCAGGCGAGAAAACAGCAGGTGCCAAAAGGCCTGCGCGAGGAGGCTGGCGAAGCCCCTGCGCGCCTATAGCCGCTGTTGGTGAATTAGGCCGGCCGCGCTCCCAAACATCTCGCTCGAATCACGAGCAGCAAGAGATTCGCGATGCTGAGCCAAGCTTTGGGATGAGAAGTGAGAAGTGCTCTCGTCTTGAGTATTGTTGGTTGCAGGCAAGCCCGTCAAGAGCGGTATACACGTGGCTCTTGTATTTCCACTGCATGTCACTGCATCCCATTATCTTCGCCAACGGTGAGGATTGCGTGCGAGTGCCAGCCACAAGCTGCTGAAGGCCACAAGGTGCTGTGTTTCACTTGTCGACATGCAGCATGTCGAGTGCGGCGTCTATCAACGGATATTCAGTGCACATCCAGCCGGGAACATTGTACACTGCGTTGTGCAGAACTTCATGGATCTACCCCCCTGCGTGCGGGCTTGAAGTGCATCTGCGCTGCTGAAAGTTCTCCAAGCAACTTTTCCCAGACAGCTTTCAGGTGCTGCTTGAGGGCAGGTCAAAGATGGGAGTATGCCAATGCCAGGACACCAACTGCATGTGCTGCTGTAATTTTTGCAGCAGCTGTAGCTGCCTTTTCGACTTCAGTGTGCCATCCTCCTGTCCAATGTGGCCACTTCATCGCGGCGTGCAGGGGCAGACGGTCAGACTTGCTTGTCGCACTTAGGTGCTGCAACCTGCCCCGCAGCATGCCGTTTCGGCTCTTATCCAGGATGGGGCCACAGCTTTGCCATAATCGAAGCCCGCATGGATTTCTCGAGGGTTGGTATGTGTCGTTTAGGAGCGAGATGCTACACGAGGGGTGCACGGGTTTCATGCACGAACTGGTCGCGTGACTACGACATTAGGCTTGTTTCAACAACATGCATTGGGTTCTTGACGTAAAAATGTAAGAAACGTGCCAGTCTTCACGAATTGACTGTGCACACCACCGCAACAGCCCTGTGTCATCCATAGTTACAAGTGTCAATGGATGGCGCAAATGCCGCAGCTACAGAAAGCAAAAGGCCAGGGGCTTACTTTCAGTTTCGGTCGACCGGCGGCGGCTGTACTGTACGTGCAATTTGGCGGCCTGAGTCTCACTCGGTTTCAGATGTGTCTGATACTTCCACATGTGTTGTGGTGCCAGAGTCCTTGTATGCTATCTGCGGCCTTTACAGGGACAGGGACCTCTGAGGCTCTAGCCTTGCGGATCCTGCACCGCTCGTTTCCCACCTAAGGCAGTTGTTCTGATTGCGGTTCCCCTCGACTGCAGCAGCGCATGTAATGATAGTGTTGGCAATGTACACGTTTGTGTGCGCTGGGTGCATTGGCATATTTGTCGTTCAGCCCGGCTGTCTCAGCTGAGTCTGAGACTCCTGCACAGGGGCGTTTGCCATGAGCGACTCTGCATACCTCCAAGCAGAGCCGGAACCCCAGTGACTTCACAGTCATTCCACCAGGTGTTCTAATTGTTGCGGAGCCTTTTGTGCCAGCATGCCCGTAGCTGTCGAAGCCACTACGCATCATTACGCATCATTACGCATTGTGAGCAATGAGCTTTCCGAGAGTCCAAGGTGAGTCCCTCGCGCTCTGCCCGTGACGCCAGGCTGCAGCTTCGGAAGAAGTCATCGCCTGAATTTGAAGAGCTGCGGACAAACGACCCGTGACGTTTTGTGCTCTCTTCCGGTCCCACGTAACTCATGAGGCCATTTTATGCAGGAGTCTTCAAGAAGGCAAAACTAATCCCAAAAATCAGCAAACTTGTCGCATGAGGGGCATTACATATATATATATATATATATATATATATATATATAGAGAGAGAGAGAGAGAGAGAGAGAGAGAGAGAGAGAGCGCCCGTTGCGGGATTTTAAGACGTACCTTGGTTTTAAGCAAAAATGCAGAGGTTTCTGGTGAGCGATTTTTCAACCGACATAAAATCAGGTGGTAAAGTTGAAATACGTAGGCCCTGCACCCGGCATAGGTGTGTTTGGTAAGTCTTTAGTGCCATGTCATTGGTCAGTTGTTTGGGTTTCATGGGTTAGAGTTTGAGAAATGTGCCCACCACCCAGGGGCGCCTTAAATATTCGGCCATATTTAAGAGCCGAAGAATAGGTAATTCGGTAGGATTATAAAAAAGAAGTAATGGGAAGGCTTTGTTAGAGCAGAGCTGATACAGTCTACCATGGAGTCTACAATGAATCATAGAGATGAAGCTGGACTTCCTAATAGGACGTTAAACCCTAAACTCTGAGAGAGCCCTAAACCCAAACCCGAGTAGAACACCCTAGTAGAACCCTACGGTCTAAAGGAACCTTAAGCCTCAACTACAACCTTAAGCTCTAAGTTAAGACCCTCGGAACTCTGATTTAAACTGCGACGCATGGAAAGCCGATGTCCTTGCGTCATACATACCATTTTGTAACATAGCCCTTCTACGTAGAACCCCTTGACTTTTAAAATATGGCCCTTACAGAACATTTTGAACTCTTAAAATGTAGCCCTTATAGGACCCTTTTGAGTTTTTAAGATATAGCCCTTATGGTGATAAAATCTAGCCCGTATAGAACCGCTGGAAATTTTAAAGCCCAGCCAAAACATAGCCATTATGGAACCCTTTGAAATTTTAAAACATAGCCCTTATAGGACCCTTTGCAACTTCTATGGAACCCTTCAAGCCCTGATTGAAACCCTCGGAAGGCTCAAGGCTTCGTCTCTTTGGCTTCGGCCATGCAGGATGCGGAGGCCCGGGCTCGGGTCTGGAGCTCTTGAGTTTAGGTTTTAGGGATTTAGGGTTTAGGGGTTTAGGATTCAGAGGTTTAGGGTTTTGGGTTGAGACTCCCTGGTTTGTTTTAGTCGTGTTTGGGCCTTTTGTCGTTGTGGCTGCTATCAGCAGTTTGGATTTTGGGGGCTGAGGTTTTTTGTGTTTTTATGAAAATTCTTGCAATTCGCAGATTTTTGGAGGTGTCAGAGAGCAGAACCATTTGATGGTTGTTGCTTGTTTGCGCCAGGTGCTGCGAGCCACAGCCTCATGTCAGGATTACTTACGGGATTGCCAGCTACGTTGCTGCCAAGCCGAGGCGGACATCCTCCTCGACCGGCTTCTGAATTACTTGCCGCAGCCGATTCGTCCAGAGGCTGTGGGCATCTGGATGAAAGTCTGACATGATTCTTCTGCATGAGGAAAGCACAGCCTCAGGCCTAAATCCTGAAAGCCTACACTTACACTGTGGGCTTCAGTACTTGAAAGGACCAGCGCGTGGTGGAGAACATGCTCCGCCTGGGCCGGCCATTGCGTGTGTGGCTCAAGGATTCATCGGCTTGTGTGCAATGGCTTGTTTCGCCCGCGCCCCAAAGGCGATGGCACGTTGGATGCCACAGAGCTGGACCCCTGGAAGCCGCTCAATGCTTTCGGTGGCTTCGGCATGGTTCTGGAACTCCGAGGTTCTGCCAAAGGTTTGAGCTGCTGGCACGCAACGGCGCCGTTGCTGGCCGGGAGCCTGTAGCACCGGCCTGGCTCCCAGTTGTCCTTCAAGGCTGCAAATGGAAAGATGCCCTGCGTCTGAAAGTGCAGCTGCCTGGACAGGGAACTCTAAGCCACAGCTCTTCAAGTCCTCAAGTTTCCAGATCACAAGACTTGGAGCCTCTACCTGTACTCCGGTAACTTTGGAAGCCACTACGCATCACTAGTGTATGCAGTGACCTTCTGAGATTCCAAGGTGAGTCCCTCACGGTCTGCCCGTGACACCAGACTGCAGCTCCGGGAGAAGTCATCGCCTGAATTTGGAGAGCTGCGGACAAACAACCCGTGACGTTTTGTGCTCTTCGGTGACACGTCGTATCTCATGTGGCCCCATACGGCCTCGACTAAGGGTTCGGCTGCCAAGCGCCTGGTTGGCTTGTCCCCGCTCTTGGGCCTCGAGGTGCTCCAGGGCCACAGCTCAGGGTGGGACCTTGGACATTGAATCTGAACGTCTCTGGTTCTAGGTGCACTCCTGTGTCATGACACCCTCTTCGTGTGCAGGATGCTCGGGCGCAACCGTGGCAGGGACCCGCAAGCCGTGAGCAGGCGGCACCTCCGCCGCCAGCCCCTCCAGATGGCCCGCGCCCTTCGGAGGACGCGACTCAAAGGTCGGCAGGAGATGGCAGAGCACAATAATTCGGGCCCGAGGCACGTTGCAGGTTGTCTGCACTGACCAAGCAGTTTGAGAATGCAGTCCCGCAGCGAGTTGTTGACGCATGTCGCTACGCTGGTCGCAAACCTGTATGTTGCTAGTTTCAGCCATATTGCAAGTTGACCACATGCACGTGCTTCTGCTGAGGGCCAGTGCGGAATTTCATTTCTTGCAGTGCTTGGGAACTTGCATTTCTGCTTTTCTGCCCTCGGGACGACGAGAACGGTAGAACTGCTGGAGGTTTTTGATGTGCTGAGATCCGTTTCGTTGCAGCGTGGGCTGCTCGTGGGCTGATGATCTTCGGACTGAAAAGCAATGCACTTCCGTTGGAGGAGAGTAGAATGGCAATGGATCCCGGGCTAAATTCGGACTCCACCGGTCGGACGGACCTGACGTGTACAGGCTTGCTACAAGCTACTTGGGTTGGACTTTCGGGGTTCAGACGACGAAAAAGATTTCGATGGAGTTCTTCGATAAGATACATTTAATTAATGAATGCGTCATGTTTGGCAGAATTCGCATTGCTTGCCTTGTTTTGTCGACCGAAGACTTTTCAGATTCAGCACCGCACAGGCTGATAGGTCAGGGTCGGATGTGGTGCACGGCTAGCTACAGAAGCAACATAGTGAATCCGCTTAACATGATGGAGGCCATTCTTGACATGCAAAGTATCCGCGGGTACGTATTTGAGAGAGTTGCTAAGACTTAAGATGTTTAGGCGTAGCTGTTTCCTCGCTGCCAATGTTGTCTATGGCTGCCTTTGCAGTAATATAGAAGTTGTCATCTTCGGCGTTCCTCTCCTCGCCATGGTGCTCCTCGAGGTAGCTGCCGCAACCAACGCGTGACTTGACATGATTACAGTACAAGGTGAAGTTTCAACTATGTCTCAACCATCCAGTGCTCACACGTTGAAAACCTGAGCTCAGATCTGCGTACTTGTTTGGTGCCATCTACTACGGCGCGCGTTTCGTGGGCCAGATCTTGAAGGCCTCGCGGTGCGAGAGACCCGAGCAATGGATTTTGGAGGTTTGGGAATGGGGGGGCCACGGATTTCAGACCTTCCAGGGCCCGGAGACGGAAAGCTCGGCGGAGCCGCGTGGCGTCGAGACTGGGGCCAAGCTGTGCTTAAGGGGACCGTTACATGCAGCGGCCAGATGATAAGCAACGGATCTAATGGACTTCATGCAGTCATAGTAACAACCCTGCTTCTGTCCCTCCAACCCCCAACTTGTGCCACCTCTCAACAAGGTCCACAGCATGGAGTGCCGACCGCATACTCGAACAAGCCCGTGCCGCTGGCCCAGCCCGTTCTTCGCAGGATGGAAGTTCTCGGATCTCTTGCTATGCGTGGCCGCTCAAGGCTGACGGCCTGGAAGACCACTTCAGGAACTCCTTCACAGAAGTTACTAGGTTGCACTTTAGACGATGATTCACGGCCACAAACTCACTTCCAGAGTTCGCAGGTGCGTCGATTTGATGGGTTGCATGGCGTGTGCGTCTCGTTCTTTGTCTCGTGTGTGTGTGTGTGTGTGTGTTTTTCTGCCACGGCCTAAACCCTAAACGGCTCGGGCAAGCCTGATCTCAAAAGGGGGCGAGATATCCGTAAACGATCGTAAAAGCAACCCAAACCCCCAAAACGCAGAACCTTCAACCCCAAAATGAGTGAGATAACGGCAAAAACCCTAGACCTGAAATGGAGCGGAAGCCAACAACGAATGAGAAAACTTGTCAACAAGCCCAGCTCAAAACACTGTAAGGAATGAGGTAGCCCCGAGAAGAAGCCCTACGGTGAAGGAAAGGAAACCCTAAGCCTCAAAACCCTCTTGAAGGAGACCTCAAACTTGTAGGGAAAATAGAAACCACGAACCCTGAACCCTAATCGCCCTAATCCCTAAACCCAGAGCCTTAAGCCCTAAATCTTAACAACAGCGAAGCCCTCAAAAACACCCCATATGCAAATCTCTATGCAAAAGGGCAGAGGGACACCGGGAACCCGAAGACGCGTGAATTTGAAATGAGAGCTAACCCTTAAAGAACAGAAACCCGAAAGCTAGGAAAGCCAGAACCCTTAAAGGAGTGAAGCCGAAAAAAGAGACGGTGAACGGTCAAATGGGAGGGACAGCCTCAACCCTAGAAGTTCGGCAGAAAACTTAAATCTCTCTAAACTTGAAAAGACGAGGAAGCCCTAAATCACGAAAGAATCCTAAGCGCGAAGAGGCATGAAAACCTGAAAAGAAACCCATGCCTGAACTCTAACAGGAGTGAGACAACCCTGAAAACAAACCCGAAAGCCGAACGCCTAAATGAACGGAAACCTTAACCCTCAAGGGAGGCACGACAACTTCAAAAAAAAGCTCAGTCTAAAGTGTCGGAAATGGTGAACCGGAAAAGAAGACAAGCCTGATTCGTCCGACGCACATTGAGCTCTCAATCTTTCCGTGGCGAAAAAACTGTAGACGCGGATGCGACCGCGAACAGCTCAAGCACTACCACTTACCCGGAAACTATGTCACACGTTTGACGGCTGGGTGGCATGCTATGACGCAACCTCGACAGCGAAGCAGACGCTGGTTTAACATCCCGGCCCTCCTTTTTGCAGGAATGTTGTTCGCTTGCCTGGGTTGTGCCGTTAGGTCCACGCGGCCGAGAAAGAGAAATGCCTGGCGCAATTCCGCGAGGAGGAGCTTCCGGACGACCGTGATGGACAGGACCGGACTGTTACGTAGGGAGTTTAGGGTGGTGCAGGTAGGGGCCTCACTCTCAGTCCAAATATTCCTAGGTGCATATCCGCTCTGTCCCAAGACACCGGAACGCGAAGAAAAGCACAACTCCTTCAACTCGAGCCTGAGTTTTTCTCCGTGCGGCGTGCTCCTGCCGAAATCTTTTCGCAAGAACCGGGAAGAGCCACGAGACGCGACAGTCCGTTGCCAGAGTTGCGCTTGGACTTCGAATTTTAGATTACCAGCATCTGTTTCGTGGCTGGCCGGCCGACAAGTATGCAGCTCTCGCATGCTTGTTACAGAAATTCTGTGAGGCACCTCTCGTGATTGATTAAGCATGTGCTCCGTGGCTCACATGCCTCCAGCCACCTGAAAGCTTGTAGCGCCTAAGGAGCCAGCTTGATTCTGACAGCATTCCACCAAAAATGAAGTGAATCCTTCATTTTGCTTCTAGCCGTGGACTTGGAGAGGATCTTGCGAGATGGCTCGCCGAAGAGGACAGCAGGGTTGTCGAATGGGATGGGACAGACAGTGTGATGCCAGACACAAATTCCTTTCAAGGCGATGAGAGTTGTTCATAGGCTCAAGGGCAACTTTTGTGTCTTCCTCCTAACGTCAAATTATTTCCGCATCTTGGAGCTCGTCGGGGAGAGTTGGATCTCCATGATTGTAGCAAGATCATAATCGAGTCTTGCACAACATCCTGCAAGTGCTGGAGTGCCCAGGAATAAGGAAGTGACGGTTGAGGCTGCTAGGTCGTGCAGGCTCAGCTGTTGGCAATGTATTCGTGACGCTCCACTTGTGCAGGACCCTGCATCCTGTGCCGAGTTCGACTTCAATATGGTCGCCTTCACGGACAGCGGCCCAGGGATCGCAAAGATTCCCAGATAGGGTCGATAGCCTTGTGCGTCAACCTTCTGGTATTTTCCGGTCTCAGGACATCCTGGACCAGGACTGCATGGCTGACTCCACGTCCACGGCGGCCAGCAGCCAGCAGTCCACGGGCCGCGACTCGGCAGCATGATGCAGCATTACACATGGGAAATTCATCAATTCAGTGCAGATGTGCTGTGTTGACTTGGTCTATTCTACAGCTTGTTATTCTCTTGCCCTAGGCATGCGGCGCACGCCGGAGGAGCTAGAGGCCATGCAGCTGCCGGGATCTCATGCGAGGGGTTGTCCGCTGCTGCATAATGGTTTTCAGCACTTCCATTCCGAGGCAAGATGCAGCACGCTGGACAGAGGCTCGTTCGGCACCGACGCGGCTGCCAAATCCGGAGGAGGTGTAAAGATCCACGGTTTCCCTCAGTTCTGCCATGTTTTTTGGGCGTCTCATCAGGAGAGGCGGGAGAGGATGCGCAAAGCCGCCCTCCATCCGGACGCCGTGCCTGGGCTCATCTTGCAGCTGTTTTGCCAATAGCTTCGCCTGCCTTGTGGGCTAGCGTGCGTCTGTGTGTCGCGTGTACATGTGCAGTGTGCAATTGTGTGTGCCCCTTACATCCCCTACACAGTTTGGCCATCGTGGCAGACGTTTGCAGAAAGTTTTGGAGCTTTGTTGCAGTTGCTGCGCCGCTGCTGCAGGCGAGAAAACAGCAGGTGCCAAAAGGCCTGCGCTAAGAGGCTGGCGAAGCCCCTGCGCGCCTATAGCTGCTGTTAGTGAATTAGGCCGGCCGCGCTCCCAAACTTCTCGCTCGAATCACGAGCAGCACGAGATTCGCGATGCTGAGCCAAGCTTTGGGATGCGAAGTGAGACGTGCTCTCGTCTTGGGTATTGTTGGTTGCTGGCAGGCCCGTCAAGAGCGGTATACACTTGGCTCTTGTATTTCCACTGCATGTCACTGCATCCCATTATCTTCGCCAACGGTGAGGATTGCGTGCGAGTGCCAGCCACAAGCTGCTGAAGGCCACAAGGTGCTCTGTTTCACTTGTCGACATGCAGCATGTCGAGTGCGGCGTCTATCAACGGATATTCAGTGCACGTCCAGCCGGGAACATTGTACACTGCGTTGTGCAGAACTTCATGGATCTACCCCCCTGCGTGCGGGCTTGAAGTGCATCTGCGCTGCTGAAAGTTCTCCAAGCAACTTTTCCCAGACAGCTTTCAGGTGCTGCTTGAGGGCAGGTCAAAGATGGGAGTATGCCAATGCCAGGACACCAACCGCATGTGCTGCTGTAATTTTTGCAGCAGCTGTAGCTGCCTTTTCGACTTCAGTGTGCGTGCAAGGGCAGACGGTCAGACTTGCTTGTCGCACTTAGGTGCTGCAACCTGCCCCGCAGCATGCCGTTTCGGCTCTTATCCAGGATGGGGCCACAGCTTTGCCATAATCGAAGCCCGCATGGATTTCTCGAGGGTTGGTATGTGTCGTTTAGGAGCGAGATGCTACACGAGGGGTGCACGGGTTTCATGCACGAACTGGTCGCGTGACTACGACATTAGGCTTGTTTCAACAACATGCATTGGGTTCTTGACGTAAAAATGTAAGAAACGTGCCAGTCTTCACGAATTGACTGTACACACCACCGCAACAGCCCTGTGTCATCCGTAGTTACAGGCGGAATCCAGTTTGCATGCTGTCAGTGTCAATGGATGGCGCAAATGCCGCAGCTACAGAAAGCAAAAGGCCAGGGGCTTACTTTCGGTTTCGGTCGACCGGCGGCGGCTGTACTGTACGTGCAATTTGGCGGCCTGAGTCTCACTCGGTTTCAGATGTGTCTGATACTTCCACATGTGTTGTGGTGCCAGAGTCCTTGTATGCTATCTGCGGCCTTTACAGGGACAGGGACCTCTGAGGCTCTAGCCTTGCGGATCCTGCACCGCTCGTTTCCCACCTAAGGCAGTTGTTCTGATTGCGGTTCCCGTCGACTGCAGCAGCGCATGTAATGATAGTGTTGGCAATGTACACGTTTGTGTGCGCTGGGTGCATTGGCATATTTGTCGTTCAGCCCGGCTGTCTCAGCTGAGTCTGAGACTCCTGCACAGGGGCGTTTGCCATGAGCGACTCTGCATACCTCCAAGCAGAGCCGGAACCCCAGTGACTTCACAGTCATTCCACGAGGTGTTCCAATTGTTGCGGAGCCTTTTGTGCCAGCCTGGCTCCCAGGTGTCCTTCAAGGCACATTGCACATGGAAAGTTCCCATGTATCAGAAACTGGCATCGGGATGCATCTGCTGTGCATGCAGCTGCCTGGACAAAAAGCTCGAAGCTACAGCTCCTCAAGTCCTCAATTTTCCAGATCATAAGAATGAGGCCTCAACAGTGCATGCCCGTAGCTGTCGAAGCCACTACGCATCTTTACGCATCATTACGCATTGTGAGCATTGAGCTTTCCGAGAGTCCAAGGTGAGTCCCTCGCGCTCTGCCCGTGACGCCAGGCTGCAGCTTCGGGAGAAGTCATCGCCTGAATCTGAAGAGCTGCGGACAAACGACCCGGGACGTTTTGTGCTCTCTTCCGGTCCCACGTAACTCATGAGGCCATTTTATGCAGGAGTCTTCAAGAAGGCAAAACTAATCCCAAAAATCAGCAAACTTGTCGCATGGGGGGCATTACATATATATATATATATATATATATATATTTATATGTATATATATATATATATATATATATATATATATA